GTATGAATTCAGATAATATCGGCAGGTGCTTGTTATTATTCGTTACGACTTTAATTTATCTTAAAAAATCGAAATTTTTAAGCAAATTTTATAGAAATCCGTTATATGAAATGTGAACCAGATTACTTTCGTCCCCCTTGAATTAATTCTAAAACATAAACTTATATCTATTCATCTTAAAAACAAAAATAAAAAAAGAACCCAAACGTACAAAATACAAACTAAACACAAGGTTAATCAAAATTACAATCTAAGGTTAATTTTCTCAAAGTAAACATATATGAGTTTCATAAACTCCAGATCGCGTCGAGCCAAAATATCCCGAACTGAAACATTAGGTTGTCTACCTCAGCTCAGATCTGACTCCACGATGCTCAAGTCCAGAGGTGGCAACAGTACATTTTTTGAAAAACCATCGTCCAGAGCGAAACAAAACAGCCAGCACATGGGCGACCGTGTATAACTACATTCCAAGCGAACAGCGGAGATAGAGAATAAATAAAATCTCGCAGCCTGATTTTTCCAAACAGTTTATTGTAATGAAATTTTAGCTGCAGGCTTGCGTGTGACAGTAAATTACCAACTCCCTTATTTACGCATAATTTTAACATCAATGCTTATGAGTGATTAATTCATTCTTATCTTTTAATTCCATGCAATAAACATCAAATAAATGCAGTAATTAGCCAGAAATCAGCAAAATTCTACACGACATAAATTTATGTCGCGCGCGCCGCCGGTCTTGTCTGCTTCTTTGTGCGAAAATTTTCTGTCGCTGGCAGAAAATAGTTTAGAAATGTCATGACATTTTTGCCGCTTGCCAGTTTGTTTTTGTGTGTCGTCACAATGGTTATGGCAAAATGTATCAAATGTTATGGAAAAAATGTTAAACTCCAGGACTCGTGCCACCACTGTTCTCAACACAAGACCAAATAATGAGATCGGCGTCTTGATAACCTTGTCCACATTCACAGAGATTGCTATCCTCCAGCCCAACACGGAACAAGTGAGTGTTTAACGAATAGCGATTCGACATCACACGTATGAAGTCTCGACCCACCTCCAACCCCTTGAGCCAAGGACTCTTCGACAACTTAGGGATGATCGAGTATAGCCACCGTCCCAAACTCCCTTCACTCCATTTATTTTGCCAGCTGACGAGCGACTGTTGACGATAAATGAAGAAAAATTCATTGTAGGCGATTTGACCACTGTCAAAACCATAGAAACTTTTCATCTAGATAAAAAATAACTTGATAAATATAAATAGATCAAACACGAACCAACTCATATTTTTTGCACTCGTGTTCATGGCTTATATAAACGTTTTCCGCGAACACGGAGACAGATGTCGGTAGTGTGCTTTGAGCAGAAATTTCGTGGTAATTTGTATGGTCATTCATGTCGGTTTTTCGGCGATTTGACGCTCGTAAATATTGGCTGCCATAGCGCCCACCTTAGCAAGTGAGTTCGCCTTCTCATTGCTCGGAATCGAGCTATGAGATGGGACCCATGCAAAGGTGATGACAGAAGATCTTAAAGATAAAGCACATTTTTTTTTTGAACTTTGCTAAATTTCAAGGAACTTTACAGATGTTCAAGAATATTTCTAGATGATAGGTGCCTTTCCAGAAGTGTAGAGATGTTCAGGGATCTTCGTACAATTAAGAGAGATTGAAAAAATATGGAATTTGGAATAAATTCAGGGAGTTTCGTAGAAGTTGAGCAAATTTAGCAAAACTTGTAGATGTAGTTTTGTAGATATTCAGGAAACGTTGCATACGTTACAGGATATTCTTTCAGACATCCTTCCTAGACAGCAGGAAATATTCAAAAGATCTCCACACGGACGAAGATATTAGTAAAGTTCTCTGGATATTTTTCTAAGACTCTGAGGATCTCAAACTGTTAAATAATTCAATGTTCTTTCAAGACTGTCGGTTGTTCAGGAAGTATTTCTAAGTTTTCCAGCCAATTGAATCCTATAGAATCTTGAATGATGAATCTAGATTTTATGGATATGTTTGTACATTCTCTATAGGGGGAAGACCCATGCCTGGTGATTTAGCTATATTGTCAAGAATTAGCACTCGAGCAACTTAATTCCGGGCATAAATTTCAACGAAGTGATGGAAATTTCTACATAAAGTCTGGAACACGCAACAATTGTTCAACTTCAAATCGGTGTATTTCTGTTTATAAATGCAAAAAAAAACCGGAAATGCTGCATTTGGAAGTTGAGTGTATATACAATGGTTGCTATGATGAGTTTTCACCGTGTGCTCTTCAGTTTTCAAAATGACGTCCAAGCAAGAGGAGCAGCGTGTCAAAATTTTGCTCGCGCAGCAAGAGAATTCGACGTTCTCACACGTCAAGTTCGAAAAATTGCTGGATGTGGCCAAATCGACCGTGACCAACGTTTTAAAAGTATTCGGGGAGCGTCTGTCGACCGCCAGGAAGCCTGGAAGCGGCGGCAATCGTAATCCGGACGTGGCAGCGACGACGAAGAAGGTGGCGGTGAAATATAAGCGGAATCCTAACCTCTCCATCCGGGACGTCGCTGGCAAGCTCAATGTCTCCCATACTACTGTGCAGCGGGCCAAGAAACGAGCCGGATTTTCGACGTTTAAGAAGGTGAAGGTGGCGAACCGAGATTACAAACAAAACACGTCGGCAAAGCAGTGGTCCCGAAAGCTGTATACGAATCTGCTCACAAAGTTCGACTGTGTCGTCATGGACGACGAAACTTATGTGAAGGCGGATTTCAAGCAGCTTCCGGGACAGGAGTTTTATACCGCATCAGGAAAAGGGAAGGTGGCTTAAATTTTCAAAACCATCAAACTATTGAAGATCCCGAAAAAATATCTCGTCTGGCAGGCCATATGCACGTGTGGTTTAAAAGCGGCTTTTTCATTACTACGGGAACCATCAATCAAGAGATCTACGTCCAGGAGAGCCTGGAAAAGCGGCTGCTACCATTCCTAAAGCAACATAATAGACCTGTGCTGTTCTGGCCGGACTTGGCGAGCTGCCACTATGGGAAAAAGGCAATCGAGTGGTACGATGCGAACAACGTGATTGTGGTACCCAAAGACCACAACCCTCCCAACAGCCCAGAACTCCGCCCTATCGAACGGTATTGGGCCTTGGTCAAACGGAATCTAAAAAAAAACTAATAAATCCATGGAAAACGAGCAGCATTCCGGCGTTGGCGGCGAATAAGGTCGATGAGATCATTGTGCAAAATTTAATGGAAGGCGTTAAGCGGAGGGCATGTCAGTTCGGATATGGAAAACCAAAAGAATAAACGAACATTTTTTTCCTTTAAATATATGAATTGAACTACCAAAAGAAAAATAAGATTTTTGTGATATGAATTTTGACAGAAAGAAATGATTTTTTGGTCGACCAATTTTTGCGCATTCCAGTCTTTATTCATAAATGTTTGAAATATACGCTGAATTTGATAGGCCTAAAAAACTTGGCCTCTCGCAACTATCTTGAAAAACGAGCTTTATTTTCGGAACAGTTGAAATCCGGAAAACCCCACACGCAACAATTGATTTTACTCTTGCTGTGTACGTTAAAAATAGTGTCGGATATAGTGCGCTGCATTCCCACAATGATGCACTATAACGCGCACTATGTTCGACGTTATGTTTAACGTACTGGACGAGAGTAAAATCGAATGTAGCGTGTGGGGTTTTCCGGTGTCCAACTGGACCGACAATACCTTTTAGGAAAGCCACGTATTCTTACAATTATCAATTATCATTTTTTTTTATTCCGACCTTTTGTCTCTAGAATTTTGTCATAAATGCACCCCACACGATTTCGTCAATATTTCCATCAATATTTTCCGGGGCTCATCAATACAGGGTCGCGCTCCGCACTAAAGGCCGGCGCACAATAGATACGTTTTCAGGTTTTTTGACAGTTAGCCCATGCATTATCTGTCAAAAAACCCGAAAACGTATCTATTGTGCGCCGGCCTTAACATTGTTGTGTCCGATAGAATATTCCGATTGAAGGATGGTGATCCAGAATAAACCATCGTTGGATAATGGGAAGCATCGGAACTTAGAAATATTTATCACCGTTGAACCATGGTGGGTATAAACATGGTTATACAGCTTCGAAACTATATGGGCGAGGAGATCGCGGGGGGAAAAGTGTGGTTTTGGTGCAAATTATAAACAAACTCGGAACGAGCGTGATGTTGTGTATAAGAAGTCACATGATAAGTTTTGCATATTTCAGATCACAAGATCTCGAGATACATACTAACCGAATCTGAATGATAACTCTGGAACCAGCTGGCCATGAAATATTCAATAGCATTCTGTGAGACCATGATATCCTTCATTTGGCGCTTGTTGTGTCCAATTTGGTTGCAGTGGCTTCGAATCGTAAGGGAAGCCGAATACTCGCTGCGGTTAACAAAACATCATTTTTTTCTTCTTATCGAATATTGTGAAATCTATTGTACTAGGTAGGTATTAGTTAAACATGCAGCAGCAATCAATAAATCAACTTTATTATCCAACCTGCTTTCTCACCCCAGTGTATCTATCAATCCCAGCCGATGTCGTTAGAATTTTTCTGATGTTAAAAAATCTCTGGTAACGTATTCCTTCGGAAGGGAAGTAAAGCCGTTACTCTCGGCCCCTTAGGGGGAGGGACTCATTGTCGCATCGCTTGAACGAGAGAGGAAAAATCTCTCTCCATTGCAGGTTTCAAGTTCAAGAGCCGATCGTAAAACAACGCGATCCCTTCTGATCGTGGCAGTCTCAAACCGCGAACCGGTACCTGCCGTTATGATAACAAACAGGGTCGAAAAACAACCAACGAGGGGAAGTCCCCAACGTAAACAAAGCAAATGCAACAAGTTTCATTCTCCATACCTACCGATTAGACCGGTTCTCACTCTCGGTAAACACTGTTAACAACAGTCCATCGGAGACCTTCGCGTAGATCAGTTCGATTTTTGCCCATTGCAGAGAGCAAGTGTATTGCGTAGTGTAGTTAGTTAATATTCTTATCAAAGAACAAGATGACCCAAAAGGCTACGGTGGCAGCAGCGCTGTTTTGGTTTGTACTACTGGCCATCTTCAGTGGTACGATCCAGCTGGATCTACCCAAGAACTGCGGAAAGCGACATCAGAAAACGGTCAACCTGATCGTAGAGGGACGGCCGGCAACCATCGGCAACTGGCCGTGGCACACGGCGATCTTCCACCGGGTAGGAACGGGAACACCAGAGTACAAGTGCGGTGGCAGTATACTGGACAAGAATACCATTTTGACCGGTGAGTGGAATGATTATAAGCGAGTTACACCACACATTCAGGAAGAAAAATTTGCATCCAACGTCAGAATACAGTGTCAGTCCCTTCTCAAATGTTAGGCTGACGAAATCGAGAAATTTTTATCCCCTTTATTTTTTCGATCAGAATTATTAAAGAAATAATTACATTATTATAGGGTAAGGTGGAATAATACGCGCCATGACCAACAGCTCATATTTACGTGGTTTTCAAAACAAATGTAATGGGTTTTCACCCAGAATCACTAGAAGAGCTGCAGCACTATCATCAATTAGTCTTTGAATAGTACAAACAAAAATCATGTTGGTCATATTATCCCGGGACGTGTTTTACCCCACCTTACCCTACATATGACTATTATTTATAAAAACTTATCTAATCCTGCAAATATTTTAAATAATTGAATCAATTCTCACGATAAAGAAATATGTATAAACTTTCAAAGCAGAGAAAATGTGTGGGTGTGTGTGTTTCTTGAATCTTTGCATATCAACCCACTTGATGCGTTGACAGAAATGTTCAATGGAACAACCCGAAATCAATGCAATTGCCTCGTGGATAAATTACATTTTTACTGAAAAGGTGTCATCATACATTGTGTGGAGAAAACTTATATCATGACGTTCTTCCTTATAACATGTTCATGACATTTACAACCTCTATTTGGGGTAGCCTTTCAACCTTCCCCTCAAGTAGATCGTCTGGTATGGAGTCGATTAAATGCGGAATGGTCCAACAACAGTGCCAAGGCTGTTGTATTTTATATAATATTTTATACAACACATTCATTCCCTTGAGCCTCAAAATAAACCACAGCGAACATAGATGCTTCAGAACCCTTATGTTCGGACTGATTTGAGATTTGGACGTAATTGTTTTTGTAAACATTGACTTCAATCACCGGTTTTTCACGAATAAAAGTTCATTCTCTGAAACTATCAACATTATCAGGTAGGGGAGTGAGCAGTTGGTTTAGTTTGTTTGGATTAGTATCACATACTTCGGTGTTAGCACAAACGAAGTGACAGACGACTTACTGGCGAAGAAATCCATTTAAATAATGTGGTTCACTGTAAAGACTGGAGAGTTATAACATGTTATAACGGTTGTCAAATAATTGCAACACAGAAATCACCATCAAGATAGCGCTATAACATGTTATAACTCTGTAGTCTGAACGTACTATAATAGAATTTTCTTGGAAGCTTGTGCCATCATCCACCAGATGGGTTAGTTTTTTTTGTTTTGATTTGAACAAAGTTGATTTTGTGTACAATGATTCTTTGACAGTGTGCAAAGAGTGCGTATCATTTTGTCATTTTTTTATGCATTTCAGTTTTGAGTAGAGTGAAAGAGATAGAACCAAAATATTCTAGTACATTTGGTGAAAATGCTAGTTCAATCCAATAGTAGTGTTGCCATGTGGTACAATCCAGTAGTAGTGGTGTTGCCATGTGGTACACTGAAAAATTGCAATAGAAGGTTAGTCACCAAAGTTTTCGAGCCGCTCCGTCTGTCACTTCGTTTGTGGTGTTAGGCCGTTCGCAATGCTGTTGTATTTTATAAGGATTGTTTTAATTTGGAACTAGAACAGAAACGCACCTCTCGCAATGCTGAGTTGCAGTTTCATTATTCGAGCACTATTTTGCACCAGATTTGCAACTGCTCGACTATTCTGTTTTATTTCTGAGCGAGTTTGAAACACGAATGGAACTCTGTTTCTAATTTCTTTGTATGTATTTAAAGATGTTTCGAAGAGTTTCACAAACAACTCTATGAACTTCATAGAAAACAGTAAAGTTTATGCACGAAACGAAAATCAATTATTTAATTCATGTGTTTCACTTATACATTTTTGCCAAAGCATCAGCCTTATACATTCCATAAGACAAACCACATAGGTCCTATTAGAATGCATAAAAGGTATGTGTGACCGCTTATACATTTCATTTGACACATGATCTTTATTAACTTTTTGCAAGGCGTCTGCTTATTAGTTGACTTATACATTTTATGAATAATCAGCAATGGAAATTTGCCAAAAGGTATAAGGAGATTTCTATCCGTGTGGAACTTGATGATTACAAACATCTTTTAGAACTGTGCGTTGCGCTGATCGTGTTGCAGTTTTATTTTTGACAGTTTCAAATTATAGAATTGTCGAGGAGTTTAAAACAATTTTGAAACTCAGCATTGCGAACGGCCTTAGTATTAGTTGTATTGCAAAAGAAAGCATGAGACAATTATTGACCAACAAATGAAAAGGACCTATTAGCTTTTGTGAGCAAACTTGTGACAGTCGTTTGATCGCAAACCGAAGCGAGGGGGGCGACACATCTAAATCTCAATAAGGCTGTCCACGAGACAGTTGCGATCAGCTGACTTTTTTGTTTACCAAGAACTTTTGACAGATCGCAGTAGGACCAACAATCAATACGAAAGTAGCGATTTTTAATTGGCTCACTACTTGACTAGCCTATTGGTCCCAAGCAAACGATTAACGTACCCCATTCTAGTCGAAATTCTAGTACTACGCAATGTTTGTTTTGATTCGCTATGAAAGTTATTGGTTTTTCCTATGTTTCGAGGGGTGAATCGATTAGCTTGGGACCGAAGAGAGTACCAGAGCTGAGCCAAAAAGTTGAGCACGTTATTTCGGGACCTTCTAGTCTTAGAGTTACCTCTATGGTAGAACTGACAGTTCAATCTCATATGAATTTCTGCTTTGTTTATGTTTACATTCAGCACCATTAACACCAGATCACTCACACACTCTTGATTTCTAGCTGTCAGTTCCACTGCGAAACATCTCTTGGATCACCTTATTGGGTTGTTTAGGGGTATTTAGGGGTATTGAGGTAAATACATATTCAGTATCTGCATTAAAAATAGAACCGAATTCCAAAATTTCATCAATTTTGGTACACTGGAACTATTTTACAGGCTTGCTGAAACTCCTCAAACTCACTGGAGGTTTTAAAACACTCATATCCTGCGAGTTTGACCAGCCCTCACCTCGAGTGAGTGGCGGCAGGAATATGGAAGAAGTAAACAAAAATTCCTCGAGAGAGAGGGAGAGTGAACTTCATCGAGAAGATGATTTGACGTGAGGGGCGCTTTTCGAGACTCCGGATGACTTTTTTGTTCGACGCAAGAAGCTTAGAGTTCACCCAGAGTGAGAGTGAGAGCGTGTGATAGAAACCATGAACATGAATGGCAGCAAATCTCACTCTAATTTTATCCCCCTTCGCTCACAAGCTTTGAAGCTCAGTGAAATGATTTGGCAGTAGGAATTCTACTCCTCAGAAAAATGCTACGCTCGGCTCATTTCAAACTCGCGAGTGAGGCTCCATCAAGCCTGCTATTTTAAATGAGTACGATTACATCAGCAAAAATCACAATCTTAGCGCCCCTTGTGGAAGCTTTCCTTTATTTAACGTCGGTCTATGTTCCGCAATCTAGTGCCAATCACCGACGGACATCGATTGCCATCCATTGACGGCAATCGAATGTGCAGGAAGGCAGCTTCCACACCTGCGTAGGATATCGCACCGATTCAACACACATGGGCCGGGACCAACGGCTTTACTTCCTTTCCGAAGGAAGACGTGACCAGAGATTTTTATGCCTCAGAAAAATCCCACCGACCTCGGCTAGGATTGAACCCAGGCCCATCGGGGTGTTAGAAAGCAGTCACGCTTACCACTACACCACCGGCGCCAGCTCCTTGTGGAAGCTGTCAACGATCAAAAATTTAAATCTTGATTAAAAAATCGAGATGAATGTCTACGGGATCGATAAAAATATCGTTGTGCTCAGAAAACGAAGCTCTATCAGATTATGTATAAAAATCGGTATATATTTTTTAAACCCAATTCTAAATGCTCAAAAAATCTCACACTAGCGAATCAATCTTCGAAAAATCATCTTTCATTTCTCGCATCTACTTGCATCGTGCTTCATCTTTTTGCAGGAAATCTTCAAAATCGACATAAATCTTTCTTCTTTTCTGCATCGTAGATAGAGTCATCACCCTCGAACCGAAGGCAGTGTCATCGTTAACAAGCAGTACTGTCGAGTAGGGGAAAGTTACCGTAGAAGCTGCATGGGCGGCCTAAACAAAAGCTGCTACTGTGTTACCTGACTTATAACGAGTATACTGCCGTTCTACGCATATCTGTCCCATGTTACTTTTGGATGTTTTTCATTTTTGTTCATAAAACAGTACTTTTTTAGGTAAACTTTGGAATGAAAATAGATAACCATATAATTAGTTCTGGGTTTGTATAAAAACAACATCAAGTCTAATTGTCCCATGTTGTAATTCTACGTAAAACTGTCCCACAAAGATTTTCTTGACTGAATCTATCATTAACGAATCGATTTGTGTACACAAGTTATTGAAACAGGATTTATATAATCAAAAGAAACGGTATGAACCATTTTAGGAAGTGAAAGTTGTATTTTATGTTGGTAAATATTAAGAAAAACGGGATTTCATATTAAAACACCATCATCTAATTTCAAACAATGCATTATTAGACACTTACGTAGACACTCGCCACCCCCACACTCTCCTACACGGTTAGAAAAAAGTACCCAAAATTAAGTTCTTTTCACTCATCTCGGCACTATAGTGCAGGAACCCAAAAGTAGGTAAAGCGGGTCAAAGTAATTTTCATTTCCTTGTGTGCAGTTCGTATGGAATTTTCCACTGGCTTTTTAACCAAGAGTAAGTTAGTTGTACCCAACAGTAGGTAAATATGATTATACTCAACGTTGGGTTCCCACACTTTACTACCCCTGTTGGGTGGTTTTGCTCCTCCGTTTTTGACAACATTAGAAGGAGAAAAGGAGACAAACTAGTCAAAAGTAGGTAAAAGTGAACTGGCCGTTGGGTACTTTTTTCTTACCGTGTAGTGTCTATGTGTTTCATGAAAAGCCGCTTTTATAATATGATAATACGTAGTATAAAGGTCAACTCCGTACGGCAGAAATTTGCATGTGCATGTCAACTCTTCCAAAGTATTTCTTGAAATCATCAAAGCCCACGGTCAACGATCGTGTAACGTAATGATCTTTTGTCCACAGCATGTCAGCCGCCATAAATCTATGGTCGGACTCAAAATGATTAAGCACAATCTCCTTTAGTCCTACGTTCATCTTGCTAAGGAGTAGAACAAGATGTTAAGAAGTTTATGTTCTAAATAGTACATTCATCGTTAGTTTCTTGAAATGCTCTTAACTTTAATGGTTTCATAGAAGTAGCAATGCCAACAAATTTATTGTTGGTATAATTGAATGATGGAAAGCTATACAAACTATCCAGGATCTTCGAAAACTTCTCGGAGAATGCAAGCACGGTCATGCAAGCACAAGAGTAAAGACGTCAAACGCAACGTGGCCATCAAAGCAACACTGAAAGTAACAGTTCTTAGTGGGACTAACATGCGTAGAATTTCCTACTTCATTGCAAATTTCTAGGCATAACAGTCCCATTTAATATTATTCGTATAAAAATAGGCTTAACTGATTTCATTGAAGGTAATTTCTGTAGTTTTCACTAAAACATATTGATTCTGTTGAAATGTGAACAATGCGGTAACTTATTTTAACGTATATTTCTTCCAATGAGCAGAAATGATTCGAAACATTATTCGCGATTTTCTCAGAAGCAACTTTTGAAACATGGGACTGATATGCGTAGAACGGCAGTATACGTTGTAAACGAGTACCCCGAATAGAACGTATAGTTCGTCTTATTTTACATTGCAAATGCTATGCAAAATTAGACGAGTCATACGTTGTATTCGGGGTACTCGTATACAGCGTATATTCGTTATAAGTCAGGTAACACAGTAGGGCTGATTGGGCTGAAGTATCGTCCTTTTCAATTGACGATATTATGTATCTCCGTCGAATTTGCGAATGTAGGGGAAATGGATGTAATGTCGGCCTAAATGCCCCTAATTTGGGCCCATACATAAATTCAGCAATCGACTAAATTTTCAATAGCGACCAAAAATATCCATTAGTACCGTCCCAATGACGCGTTCATCTACATAAAATTGATAAGTAGCCAAGGAGTATTCAACTCTGCACACCCTAATCTGTGGTGCAAGTTTAAGCTGTGCCGAAAGCTGTGCGAAGCGCTGTACCGAACGTGCCGAAGTAGGCCGAAGTGTACCAATCAAGGTTTAATCAATATCCCATGAGTTTGGCAACCCTGAACCCTGACTTTTGTGATTGTGTTTTCATTCAAAATTTCTTATAGTTTCTGGCAAACATTAAGCTGCATTCTCATTTGAACGTGTCCAGAAACGAAGGTGTAACCTGATTGATGTTGGACGACATTTCCTCCAGTTGCCGGTTAAATGCTCCCCGACAAAATCATAACCAGAACGGGCGGACGTTTAATCCCACTCCAGAAACAACATCCTCGAACCAGGTCATCTGATCGACTCAAAAATACGTTAACTCGAAGATAAGCCTATCGTGTCGCTGATTGTCTTCCGCAATGTAAAAGTATGATGAAAACCATCAAATATCCCTCCACTCCAGATCAGTCATACTTCGGTCAACGGATGTTGATGCTTCGCGGCCAGCTGTGAAATCGTCACCCGAGCTTTCCGGTCTTCAGATGATCATGCAATCGTGAACTCCCGGCGACGTGTTTCCAGGCGTCTTCTCGTCTCCATTCCTTTCGATCCTAAACAGCCTGAAATTCGAGAAACATAAAATCCATTACTTTTTAAACTTCTGTGTTACCTGACTTATAAAGAATATAGGTTGTACCCGCGGGCCCCGTACACTTCGTCTACTTAGTTTAACATAGCATTTGCAGTACAAAATTAGACGAGTTCATGATCCCCCGGATACAACGTATATTCGTTATGAGACAGCTAAGACAGTAGGCCTGAATCTGAATCAGCATAACTCACCAATTATCTTCCCATCCTCTTCTTCCAGCCGGCCACTGTGTCCGACTCACCACCGGCATCATCGATCCGGAGAAGCTGATCGTACAGGTCGGCCGTCAGCGGCTCATGGTGGCAGACGACCGCGCCCAGGAACACGAAGCGAGCCGCATTCTGGTGCACAAACGGTTCCGGATCGGTAACCTCCAGCACGACGTTGCCCTGATCGTGCTGGCGACGAACATCGAATTTACGGATTTTGTCCAACCGGTTTGCCTGTGGGATCAAGGCGATGACCGGCTGTTGATTCGGGATCGGCAGGGTACGATCGTTGGGTTCGGGGCGACCGGAACGGCGGCATCTTCGGAAACGCTGAACGAAGCGGACCTTCCGGTGGTCGACAATCAGGTTTGCATCGACAGCAACCGAGGCACGTTTGGGTTGGCATTGACCGCCGATATGTACTGCGCTGGCAGGAGGGACGGAAAGAATGCTTGCAATGGTGACAGTGGAGGTGGAATGTTCTTCGAGATCGGCGGTCGCTGGTACGTCCGGGGTATTGTGTCGTTTTCACCGTCCCAGGCCAGTAACAATAATAGATGCGACCCATACGAATACGTAGTGTTCATGGACGTTGCACGGTATGTGAACTGGATCGCTCAACAGCTAAATGGAACCTTCGTTGAAGCTCCAGCACAATCCGATGTCCATCCTAAGTTGCACCTGTTGAGTCAGGACATTTGCGGGGCAAACAACTTCCCGTCCGCCGAAGAGTCGGATAAACCCGTATTACTCACGTATCCTTGGATTGGACTGATCGAGTACAGTCAGGAGGGAGTCCGTGAGAAGCAAACCCTTTGCCATGCGATGCTCATTAGCGAACAGTATCTCGTGACGGCAGCCGAGTGCGTCTACAATACGGGCAAGCTCAGGCCGACCTCGATTCGGCTGGGTGACTACGACACTTCCAACAGTCAGGACTGTGGTCAAATCGGTGGTTCCAGTGTCTGTGCACCACCCACCCAAACCCTCAGTATCGAAACCATCACCGTCCACCAACAGTACAACAAGCCACGTTTCGCCAACGCTATTGCCCTGATACGCGTATACTCCAAGGCGGATATCTCCCGGGACAACATCAAACACATCTGTCTGCCGTTGTCGAAGGAACTTCGCAGCTTCAAACCCCCCACCTTCATCCGTAGCGGCTGGAAGAATAGCAAAAGTCAACCCCAAATGCAGCGAACCGAGGTTAAGGTTGTCGAATCGGTGACCTGTCAGCGCAAGTACAGCGAGCAGCGCATTCCACTGGAGAAGACATTCAGGCAGATATGTATTGAACGGGACCCGACCAGCGGCGGTGCCGCGAACTGTGTGTTTGATGTGGCCGCAGCGCCATTGCAAGCCGTTCAAACGGTAAACGGAAGCCCACGGTACGTGCTGCACGGGTTGCTTACCTTCGGACCGAAGAAATGCCACCTGGACTATCCGAATGTCTACACCAACGTGGGAACGTACCTTGGATGGATTTTGGATCATATTCAACCGTAAGCTTCGGGGAGTTTGTATGTGTGTTTTAGCTTTTTTTTTATTAAGGACCTAGATGCCTTTGTCTTAATATCGAGATATAATATGTAGAAGAGATTATACACGTCTTATCGGTAAGAAACTTAATAATACTGATTAGAAATAAATACATCCGGTTTGAGTCGGTTTGACAGATTTTTTTTCTGGTGTCGTGATTTTTTTATGTTGCATTTTGCGTCACTGAAATTGTTTCCTTAATTCAAACGGGTATTGGACGAGAGGTGAGTACCTACCATTAAATAGCCGATATCTACATTTTAGATTGAGTGTCATAGTGTTACGATTGCTAAACTCGAAGAGGCTGATGATATTGGACAGATTTGATAGTTTATAGTAAGTCTTGTCAGCACGTAGAACCTAATAAATGCATTTCAGGACAAAACTTGAGATACTGAGCGTTGAGTAGGTGAATGGAATATTTGAATTACAATCAATTCTATTTTTACACGATTTTCATTTATTTTTTTCAATGTCATGCCTTCCATATTTTTCTATGATTTGTTTATGATTTTTTAAACCAGTTGCATTGAATATGGTTGCAGTTCGAGATCACATGATCAAAAATTGTGGCGAACAAAATCGCGTTAATACAGATGATTGCCATAAGCACAGCCATGCCTTTAATTTATCTGTAAAGCACATTTCATACTGTTGCCACGGACAAGATGCTCCCAAGGACACGAAAATCTTGTTGGGGCTTAAAAATGCGTTTTATTATCTATAGTAGGTATTCAGCTTATTGTAAGACCATCGTTTTAGTCTCCCTTCTTCCCATAAGCCATTGCTGGAACTTTTCTTCATACACGGTCCATCATCTTTTGTACGAGCCCTGTTCCCACTTGTTTGGCTGCCAAATTTCAGTGAAATCCTTCAGGTCAATTGCAGTTCCATCCTTTTTCTTCAATATATGGTTCACGACCAGTATTCCTCAATTGGCCTTAGCTCCATTCTATTGGAGTATTGCCCGGATTCATCTCCTTGGGAACCACTGTGACGCCATTTTCGCTGTACCACTGTTTGGTGGAATTTGAGCGGTGGCAGCAGCGCTGCCATTTATACAGATTTATCTGTATTATACAGATTTTTTAATCTTAATACAGACCCGATACAGAGTACAGATTTATCACAGATTTTTAAATTACAATACAGATTTATACAGATTTTTATAAAATGCTTGAGAAAAAAAATTCAAAATTTATAAAAACAAAATAACTTTTTTGATTGTATGGGGATTTACAGTATAAATTGAATATTTCCAATATAAGCATGTATGTTAAATACAAGAAAAGTGCCCGAGCACATTAAAATGGTACAAATACAAGTACTCGTAAACATTTTACTTGCATTGAAAATGTATTTCGTAAGAAATTGCGGATTTTCTGATATTCTCCATACTGCAAAAATGATTTTACCAGCACTGGCGGGGCGACATCTCTCGACTTTTTGGTGTAACTACTACACGAATGATGTAATTAATTGTATTCATCTATATTAAAAATATCAAATAGTAATGAACTCGTGCACTTTTTTGCATTTAAAACTGCTTATCAGGAAGATAATGAATAGAAACTAAAATCTCCATACATTTTCAAACGGCTTCATATCACTCTTATAAATAAGTACGGACGATATCACAAATGGCGCAATTATATCCCGTATGGTTAGTACGATAGCCCGAATAGGTGGTTCAGCACTTTTTATGGTTATTTTGTATGCACTGTATTTGTAAAACAACAAAACATGATTAATTAAGAAAAAAATCGTCAATACAGAAAATACAGATTTTTTAATAGAGTGGATACAGATTTTTTATAAAACCACCTGGCAGCTCTGGGTGGCAGCTTGCAGCTCATGCTGCTTCAGAAAAGGTAGTAGTTTCTTCCGTAGGCTCTCATCTTGGTAAATTTTCTGGTTCATGTTCCCAGAAGTAACGAAAGTTTTGCTTTTCAGCCCACAACTGCAGATTGCTTGCCAGATAAGGAACTTTTTTTTGATAAATTTCGACTTCTTTTCGATTTTAAATTTTTCCGGGTCAACCGAGGTATAAAATTCCGGCCCAGTAATTTGATCGAAAACTGTCAGAAGCGAATAGACCGGGATTTTCGTTTCGAGCGTGCGAATCGCGGCGTGCTTGCTCCGGTGAAGCCATGATGTAAACAAATGAACTTATCCTGACAACCAATGCCTACTGTGATTCTAAATACTTTTACACTTCAGTGAAATTTTGAAAAAAAAAACAATTACTCAAAAATTGCGCTTTTACTGTGTCCGGATTTTTGTTTTATGTTCAACCTTTAAGAACGGAAAATTTACTTCCAGCATAATTTTTAGGAAAACCAGCTCTTGAAAGAAGCTGAAGGAAGTTCCAGAGAAAGAAGAAACAAGCTCTTCTTGAGGAAGTTTAAAGAAAGTTCTATTGAAAGTTGGAAAAACATCCAAGGAGCTTCCTAAGTACAGTGTATCTCAAAATTGATCGTACAGCTGTTTTTATATTTTAGAAAAACGGCTCTAAAAGCACAAGTTAAAACGTCGCTGAATTTTTGGCACCTGACTAAGCATACATTTATCAATTACTGTCTCAGTATTAGGGATATTTGGTTGATTTTACTTGAGAAGTCAAAGCAATTTAAGGAAAAGGCCTTTTCCTTGAAAACTTTATTTTCTTGAAATAAAATGATCATAACTTCTTGAAATTTCGCTCATTTTTAGTCGTAGTAAGGATCATTCATATGTCACTAATTTTACTAAAAAGTTGAAAATTGAGCGTTCTACTAAAATAAATCTAACTTCATACATGCTCTTCCAATAAAGACCAATACCAATAAATCAATAAACATCTGTTCAACCACCAGACACGATTTAAAAAAATATATCTATTCACCATGTTTCCAAAAATTGTCCTCAATTTGCCGATCAATTTTGAGATACACTGTAGCTCTGGAACCTATTCTACTAGGCAGCGTGAAAAGTAACCTCCTTGACCACCAGAATGCGCTGCTACCAACAATCAATACGAAACTAACGATTTTAAATTGGCTCACTACTTGACTAGCCTATTGGTCCCAAGCAAATTGACTAACGTAGCCCATTCTAGTATAAATTCCAGTACTACACTATGTTTGTTTTGATTCGCTATGAAAGTTTGACAGATAAAATGAGGGGTTAGTGGATTTTCCTATGCATCGATTAGCTTGGGACCGATGAAAGTACCAGAGCTGAGCCAAAAAGTTGAGCTCTTTTCTTCGAGACCTTCTGGTCTTAGAGTTACCTCTATGCTGCTACTGCAAAAAAGGTTATGGCTCCTTGTAAAGAGCCTGAATTTATATATAAATTCATATATAAATTCAGGCTCTTTAGTTCCTTGTAGTCCGTTCATATTTAGGCAGACATGCCAAATTTCAGTGCGATACTGTCTTTAGTTTTGTTTTGACAGATGATTGTTGTTGACGTGTTTGGCATCATGTTGAGTATGGACAAAAACGATTTTCGTTCTCTCATAAAACATTATTTTTTGAGAGGCAAAACCAACAATCAATACGAAACTAACGATTTTAAATTGGCTCACAACTTGACTAGCCTATTGGTCCCAAGCAAATCGATTAACGTTCCCCATTTTAGTCCAAATTCTAGTACTACACTATGTTTGTTTTGATTCGCTATGAAAGCTTGACAGATAAAATGAGGGGTTCGTGGATTTTCCTATGTTTCGAGGGGTGTATCGATTAGCTTGGGACCGAAGATAGTACCAGAGCTGAGCCAAAAAGTTGAGCTCGTTTCTTCGGGACCTTCTGGTCTTAGAGTTACCAACAATCAATACGAAACTAACGATTTTAAATTGGCTCACCACTTTAGTAGCCTATTGGTCCCAAGCAAACGATTAACGTACCCTATTCTAGTTGAAATTCTATTACTACACTATGTTTGTTTTGATTCGCTATGAAAGTTTGACAGATAACATCAGGGGTGTGTGGATTCATGCAGAACATGCAGGGGTGAGTGAAATAGCTTAGGACTGCTTGGGACCGTTATTCTGGTACTGAGTGAGCCAAAAATAATAATGATTTTCTTCGGGACCCAGTGGTCTTAGAGTTACCTCTATGGAGTTACCTCTATGTTAGCACTGAGCGCACACACCATTTTTTGGGCGAGATTCTGCATATGAAAAAGTTATCCTGCCACTGGGTGCCACGCAAGCTCACTCCTGACCAAAAACACGAACGAGAGAGCACTTCGAAAGAGTGTTTCGACTTGCTGATGCGGAATCGGGCGGACTTTTGGTGTCGATTGGTAACTGTTGATGAAACCTGGATCCACTATTACACCCCAGAGAATAGAATGAGTGCCCGGCAATGGACTGAAACCGGCTCGGTGGGTCGGAAAGACAATGACGTCGGTTTTCTGGGATTGTCATGACATACTCTTCGTGGACTACCTCGAAAAAGGAAAAACCATCAACAGCGAGTATTACCAACAATCAATACGAAACTAACGATTTCAAATTGGCTCACTACTTGACTAGCCTATTGGTCCCAAGCAAATCGATTAACGTACCCCATTCTAGTATACATTCCAGTACTACACTATGTTTGTTTTGATCCGCTATGAAAGTTTGACAGATAAAATGAGGGGTTAGTGGATTTTCCCATGTTTCGATGGGTGAATCGATTAGCTTGGAACCGAAGATAGTACAAGAGCTGAGCAAAAAAGTTGAGCTCGTTTCTTCGGGACCTTCTGGTCTTAGAGTTACCTCTATGGTATTACTGTTGGTATTACTGCGCATTATTGGAGCGATTGAAGACCGAAATCACAATTTCATTCCCAAGGAGGTTACTTTTACCCCCAAAAATTCTCATTATTCTGGAACGAGGAAAACTTTCCACTTGTAAAGATCACGGACCTATAAAAATTTTCATGCGTTTATGATTTAAAATCTTGATCTTAAAAACAAAAAATTATAAGATTCTGGGATAATGTTTTTGAAATAATGGACATTTTTTTTATGTTGAGAGTGCGATCTCTAATACAAACACATTAAGAAATTCTGGAATAATTTTCGATGTGTAAGAATGTAGAAAAGCACAGAAAATGTCGCATGATCTTGGTTACAGAAATTTTTCTAAAATCTAAGC